TCCGTTCAAGTGACTGAGGATTACTTTTACCACTACCTAGGTCAAAATTTTCAATTTTCAGATTTAGATTTAGCTTTAACAAGGCTACTCAAAAGAAGCAAATGCCATCAAAATATAAAATAGATTTCACTAACAATTTAATATGTGTACCTAGTTGTAGGCTATCCTGGGTGTTGATCAGGAAAATTAAAATATATACAAATTCTAGTGCTAATACTAATCTCTTTTATACAGAGGCAGAACCGGTACGCAAGAACACTAGGATCGTGGTGTAATGGAAATATATGTTGTTGCTACTATAATCAAGAATTGGCTTCGCCCAGCAAAGTTTAGGATTGATGCAAGGTAAATTTATTGAGTTATTTATAATTTAGGTTAAAGAAAAGATTGCTTATCTAATTACCTAATATAGAACTTAAATTTTATTATAATTAACAGATTAGGCCGACATCTAACTACTGTGATGTTTTCTTTTCAAATTGTGAATTTTCAGTGACAGGCTATGGCAAATGAGCAAAACTTAATCTGCGGTTTTATCCATCTCTTTTTTCTTTATTGTCAAGAACTCAATGCCTTATCGACAAATTTAATTATAAAGTACAGGTATAGTAAAAAAATAGGTCTTAAAAATGCCTAACGAAGGGGTCTCCAACCTACAGCCTGTGGGCTACATCCGGCCCACGTGCAGTTTTATTCCAGCCAGCAGAAAGCCAGCATACGTTTTTGAAAATTATTATTTTTTATAGCAAACACCAATTATATTCTCCCACGATTGCGTAAACACGTGTGGTCAGGTGGTCTCAGCTATATCGTGATCATCTCCCGTGATCTCGCCAAGACTCACGAGCATATTATACTGCAGTCTCGACGGTGCCGTGATTGTCTTTTGCAATCCCAGCAACACCCTTCATTGTTGACCGTGATTTCCTTGAGGTGTAAAAAGAGAACTTTGTCAATGAATGCAAGCTCAGCCATGGGATATTTATTTACCTCGCGGCTCATACCATAATTAAGAGCAATTAACTGTCTCTTCCCCATTCAACAAAATTTGTGTACAATACCCTGTCTCCAAGTTGGCAGGTTAACGTATTTAAATAGGAACATAGTAAATGTCTCTCACTTGCTAATTGTTTCTCAATAGGCCTAGGGGAATATTAGTAGTAGTCAAGTAGCGGCAGATTAATTTAAATATTTATATTTTTAATTGATCCTAATTGGCAGAACTACAAATTGAAATCTTAAACTAGCTGACATTTTAAGTGTCAAATTTTATAGCCTATTCTCACTAAAAAATCATTGAACTTTTTGTCAAAGATTTAGCTTAGAATGTGATTACTTCTTAATTGCACTTCTTTCCTTAGAATTAGAGGCATTTATAATTTTATTTTATGAACAGAACTATATTTTAGATTATTAAAAAAGGAAACTATGTAGTTTATTTGTTTATGGATAGATTTTGATAAAATTTGGCAAACTTATTTACTTTATCCTATACTATTGACGTAAGCTCAAAAAAACTTTTTACCTTCTCCATGGCTGCAAACCTAACCTTGTTAAATCTAATCTTCATTCAATTTTTATCTTGTATATTTTTTTATATTATCAGCAAGTTAGGTTAGCTTATGACAGTTTAATTTTATGATAGAATGCTCTCATTTTGTCCGTAGTAAACCTTAATTAAATTTTTTCACAATCAGCAAGTTTGGTTAATTTGGTTAGGTTACGACATTTTAATTTTATAATAGAATGCTCTCATTTCGTCCGTATCACAAAAAGCCTTTACCTTGTGACAAACGACAACTACAATCGCATTGATAGTAGATGATGTTGTGATTCGATAGAGTAGCGAACAATTAACGTTAGTCGCTAAATCGGTGGCGTTTTTAGACAAAAAAGTGCTCACCGAGGAAAAAGGGTTGGAGACCCCTTGTCTAACATATTATATTTTATCTATAGATGTCTTAGAAAATAACTCTGTTGAACCTCTTTTACAGGAACAATAGAAAACTCAAGAAGGCCATTTGGGAGATGAAGAAGACCAGAATTATTTTTTTTTGTAAATTGTACATATCTTTTTTATATTTGTGTTTAAATAATTTTTTATTAAACTTATTTTATCATACAAACAAACTTTTTTCTTTAAAATGTTTTCCTTGAATGCAATTTTGTTTTAAATAAATATGTTTTGTGATACTTTTGTTAATGTTTTGTCAAATAAGAAATATATATTTATATATTTACATTTTTGGGTCACCCAAGAACTTTAACAAACTACCTATAACTTCAGAATAATAAGTCAAATCAAGGTAAGAACAGTAAAGAAGTCTGAACTGATATTATTTTAATCGCCATGAAATTTGAAATGTGAAAAAAATGCAACCTAATTCTTCTAAACATATTTTACCAATAAATGTATGAGACATTTATTTGATATTCAATTTAATATTTATTTAATGTCAAATTAAGTGAGGTTGAACCTAAATTGACCATTTATTTGATATAAAATGAATGTTCGCGAATATTAATTTAATATTCGAATGTCAAAAATGTTATATCAATATTTATCACCATCATATTTAAAATGTGAATGTAAATTCAATCATATTCTCTTTATTATATTTTACCAATAAATTTATGAATGTCAAATTTGATATTTATTTTATATTCAATTTGAATATTTATTTGATGTAAAATTGAGTGACGTTTGAACCTAAATTGAACGTTTATTTGATATCAAACGAATGTTCGTGAATATCAATTTGATATTCAAATGTCAAAAATTTGATAGCTATTTGATATCAAATAAATATTCGGTGCTATGTGGGTCATAACTATTCTTTACATTGTATATATATTCTAATTATAAATCATTGCTGAGCTTACTTGCTAACAATTTTGAAACATTGTAGGTAGGAGCACAGTTACAGTTAACTAAGGGTCTGATGGGTACATTCTTCTTGTGTATTTTCGGGATCCCTCCCATCACGGGCGCTCTGGAATTTAGGATGTTCATCTTCTGCCAACATTCTTCGGTAATCACTCTGGTGCATCTCTTCACGACGTCGGACAGCTCTTTTTGGTACTTCTGCGTTGGATCCTTTTTCAGCTCTTTGAAGTTATTTTCTTTGATGAAATCTTTAGTCTTCTTTATGTATTCTTAAACATTTCAAAAAAATGAAAAAAAAAACTCTTGGAGATACCACGGATTAATACCTACATACCAAATTTCACCAAAATCGGACTACAAGAGATGTGATTTGTAGCTCTGTACACATTCAGACACACAGACACATACACGTACACATACATCACTTCGAAAACCACTTTTTTGGGTTCAGGGGGACCCAAAACGGATATATCCATTCCAAACTCATTTTGAATATGTTGACGAAAACAATCTTTAAATATAAAAGGCAAAGCCCTCACTGACTGACTGACTGACTCACTCACTCATCACTAATTCTCTTGCTTCCTATTTAGGAGGCTGAAATTTGGTACACTGATTCTTTAGGCATTAAATAGGAAAACTAAGCTGTTTTTACTCTGATCGGACTCTCGGGCTCCACCCCAGTGGCTCTGGAGTTTCCCATGTTTACCTTATGAGTACTCATATTTAAATGGAATTAATGAATCATAACAGCTGTGTCAATTAAACAAGTTGGTTCTGTTCTATGATGTTCAAGTGTGTTCAATAGCATTTACGTTACAAGGATTACCAACAGGGTGCAGCACTATTATTTCTTTTACATTATTTATGACAACAGCTAATTTGCAACCAAAATGTAAGTGAGCGTAGCGAACGAACTTCAACCTGGGGCCCATTTCATAATAAACTACAAGTTACAAGTTACAACTTGTAACTTGTAATTTCCATTAGATTTGCAATGGGCGATCAGCTGATTTAATAATAATATTAGTTTGTAGTTTATTATGAAATGGGCCGAATGCACTACTAGGGCAATTCCATTAATTTACCTTGTATAGAGCGTGCAAATCGGCAACCGGATACCGGGCGGCCCCATTACATGATGTCACCGGATGCCTCAGCGCAATCCGGTGTATAAATGTGGCTGCGAGGCGGCGAGGGAGCCAGTAAATGATGTAACCATAGACAACAGGTGTTCCCTCCTATCTCCCTGCTTCCACAATAATTCTCCCCCCTTTATTCTTTACTTATCTCTTCCTCTATCCCCTTTCCCCTATTATTCATTTACAATTTTATACTTCGTTTTCACGAGCTTTGCTTTTCCTAATTTTTATGTGAAATCGATTTTTAGGATGATTCAAAAACCACTATGCAGCATAGAACCATGACGTTTGTGAACCATATTGTGGACATTCGTTCATTCCGAGAGTGTTCTGTTAATTGGTATTCATGTTTTAACTAAAAATCGGCACCCATGTGAAATCGTTATGTATCCAGCTGATAGCCCAATGCAAATCTAATGGAAATTGCAAGTTACAAGTTCTAACTTGTAACTTGTAGTTTATTACGAAATGGGCCCCTGGAGGCGAGTTAGCGTAGCGAACGAGCTAACCTGAAGGCAAGTGAGCGCAGCGAACGAGCTCCAACCTAAAGGTGAGTGAGCGTAGCGAACGAACTTCAACCAGGACGTGATTGAGCCATGCGAACGAGCTCACTTATGGAGTTAAACGGGGCAAAGCCCGCGGGTACAACTAGTACTAGATAAAACGTACTCCTCATCCTCAAGGAGGATGTTTTATCTTTGACAATACTTTCTCCAGTGCTCCCATATATCTACTTTCTCCATATAGGGGGAGGGAGAGACCGGCTTAATACCAGTCAGTCCAGTCCACGTACTCCCAGTTTAGTCCAGTCCAGTATGCGACCGGTTATTGTTTTGTTTGTTTTCGGTTTGTTTTTGTTTATTCACATTGAAGTCACTCACTCACAATAGTCACAATCTGCTGAGTGCTGCTGACTAGACTTGACTGACTGACACTAGGCTAGGCAGTTTTAAGTACTTGGTTAGGCCAGGCCTATATTTATTTACTTAGAGGCCTACCTCAACAAAGTTTCATTATTTTCACTGATCTGTGTCTGTCCTGTGTGATTTATTTAATTAATTCAGCCATGGAAGTGGAAGAGAAATTTTCAGATACAGATAAGATTCAGTTTATTTTAGGTGAGTTGCATGCCTTAGATTAAAACTTTAACCATAGGATAAAACGGTCATAAAACCTATCCATTTGTGAAGATTGTTTCAGTAGGCTATTAGTTGCAGCAAAGTTAACTCACAGCACTTACCTTAAGAGGCCAAAAAAGAGTTCGGGTAAAAACTTACAGTTTCTTAACTGGACTATGCTACTTAATCGGCCTACGCATTGAATCTTATTGATTCAATTAGTAGCCTAAGTTTAAACCTTCAATGTATTTTTTCACTATCAGCAACTTTGGTTGGTTAGGTTAGGTTAGGTTATGACAGTTTAATTATATTATTGATGTAGCCTAGTAAAAATATCGATTATTAAACAATAGGCCTATTTTTTATTCAATAGTTTCAATTGATATTATTTAAGCATTGCCCAATGAAGAAACTGTACCCGGTGTTTCTCCCAAAAGTGCCAAAGGTAAAAAGTGTTTGAAATAGGTAGGCTAGGCCTAGTCTAATTTTGGTAGATAAGGCAAAAAATGCAATATAACATAAGTAAGTAGGCCTAGTATAAGTTCAGTAAGTTATTATACCGCTGGTAGTTTAAATATAGATAACCTCAGCTGCAGAAACCAGCTACATCGTTACAATACGAGAAAAGGAGAAGACCTAAACGTTCCTTTCTGCAGGCTCAGTAAACAAAAAGACTGTTATCCGGTCCTTGGCATCAGACTCTATAACCACCTGCACCAAGACATAAAGTCACTCCCTCTTAAGAGTTTTAAAAAGAGAGTGGAGGAACTACTCAAGGCGCGGCCCCTGTACTCCATGAAGGAATATTTCACAGAGGAAAATGGTGAATGGGCCTTGTATTCTACAGCCATGTTAACCACATAAATTAAAAAGTACTAAAACTAAAATGTTTAAAATGTTTTTTCTTTGACGAAATCTATCCAGTCACTACTGGTCATCGATGGATACATGGTATAAAGGTATAATGAGCAAAAAATCCCATTTTTGGGCGACTAGGCTTATTAGTGATGTGACGAGTCCAGTAAGTTAGGTATTTCCTTGACTCGAGTCCAACTCGACTCACAACTAAGTTATCTCAACTCCAGTCAGACTCAACTCAGTATTCATTGGTAAGTTATCATCAACTTCAATCTGACAAGTTCGGGTCGACAGCAGCGCAGCCAATAGGGTTATGACTTTGCGAGTCGGCTCGACTCACATTCATCCAGCAGCATTTAATGTTACGCGAGTCAACTCAGTTACGTTCTGAGTTCGTGTAGGTTTGGCTTTCTCCGTATGAGTTCAGTTTCTTGACTCGGAATTCAGCCAATAACGTTTTAAGTTTCGCGAGTTGGACTTGTTTCTTTCCAAGTTTTTGTAGGTTTCGCTTTTTTTTCTCCGTATGAGTTTGGTTTCTTGACTCACCTTGAGCATAGATAAAACTACAAACAATAGACCATTAATTTTGGTCTACAGTTTGTGATAAAACTTATTTTTGAGTCTATAGCGTTTAAGTTTTGTGAGTCGGACTCGTTACGCTCTAAGTTCAAGTAGCTTTCGGCAATCTTCGTATGAGTTTGTGTCCAACTCGAGTTGTGAATGAGTTGACTCGAGTTGGCTCTTGACTTGAGTCAACTCGACTCATAAACTCAACACATCACATCACTAAGTTTAACTTATTTGGTTCTAAAAACCGCCTAGAGTCTAGAGTGTAAAAAATGCCAACATTGGCTATTAGCGAATATCGCATACTGTAGCCTATAGGTAATTTGCTATTACCGTAATAGGTACTCATGGTAAGATCTGGACTAGGGACCGATTTACTTTTTGTTTTGAGGTCCCAAGAGGACAAAAACACCATCCTTTCAAATTCATATATATATTTCTACATACCTGTGTGTCTGTTAGCACGATTCGAGCAACAATGATCCGATTTTATTCATCCGATTTTTGGGGTGAAAATAAGATTTTCCCATCCTTCATCGCAAAAACTTTAATTTTTCAATTTATTTTCAAACCATTTTGTTGAGCTAAAAAAACAAATAAGTTTAGGCCTAGGCCTGAATTAGTATATCCCTCTCTCTGTTACACGTCGGATTTCTGACGCATTTACACCATTTGTGAACAAACTGCCAAAGTTCAAATTCCGACGCATGTAGCAAGCGTTCACGTGAATGCTCACCGTTTGTATAATTTTAATAATTTCTGCATGATTTTTTCACTATTTTAAAGTAGAAATCATAAGCTTTCTTATAGTACCACTTTGTATGTTTGGCAACAGATGTTTTTATTATTTAGGTACCGGTAGCATTGGATATGTGATGTATTCAGCTATCAGACCGGCAATGTAGGTTAGTGAGGTTTAGTTGTGTGCTGTTGCCTATGATCAACGTAAGGTTTTTTGTACATAGAGTAGCTATTTTAGGGTTAGACCATAAACATTGTATGTTTTTGAAAACTAACTTATATTTTATTTCAAAGTTTGGCTATGAAACTTTGTTTGGTGAACTGGGTTGAAGGGGTGACGAATGAAAATAAATAAACTGTATTAGCTTGCTTGTCTATGGACAATAAAATGAAATTTGGAAAATTTGTTAACTTCGTACTAAGCTATCAATATTTAAATAAAAAAACACCTTATCGTCTTCCCAGTAGCAGCAAACCTAAGAAAGTTCATCATATAAAAAATTAATGATATTAAATAGGATTTAAATCTGACAATTTTAAGGGAATAATTTAGTAGAATTCCAGCCAGGTACTGTAGATGGAAATTCGCTTAGTCTGCAGGTTTGCTGCATCGGGGGTATTTTTTGTTGATGAGTTTTGTCTAAGTTTTTCTTAGTAGTTCCTCCATAAATTGCTACAACCTAGGCTACCATATAATAGGACATGTGAACATTTATCTATACAAAATAAATGGTTTTTAACATATCAGTATCACACATCCTTGACATTTTTTGCAGGGCTTTTCGACCTTTTGACATTTTACCAATTAATGGGCTCAACATGTTTACAGTATCCTAAATTAAGTTTTGATCCTATATCAATCCGAGAAATTCTGTATACTCTATACTTGGCTTAAGTTTGAATCATCAATGTAAATATTTGTCGTCAATTTAGATCTTGATTGTTTTGTAGGCCTATTGAGAATTATACAAAATTAGATTGACCATAATTTATCAGGGGATTATTGCTACTTGAGAATTCATTAACACATAGAAGATTTAGAAAACAGATAAGTGTTTATCATTGTCGTCTGACATGTTTGCTTGAAATATTTTTCCCCCTATGCTGTGCTGTTGTCGTTGTGAGAATGTAACCTGGTTCAACCCATTCACGGCCATACTCTGTGTGTCCTGCGCTCTCTTACAACCAAGGACGTACAAGACAATCAGTTGCCTTAGAAGAGCCCCTCCCCCAAGTCCGCAGCAGGGCCCTATCTGGTTGCCATCCGGTCCTGGAATGTGCAAGTAAACCCAGTTTTTAAGCTGTACCCTCTAACTGAATGGACGTCCTGGGAGACAAAGGGCATTGAGCAATACTTGAGAATATACCAGAGTGAGCTAATGATTTTAACAAGAAATATTGAAACATTAAGAAGAAAATAATAATATAACTTTTTAATTCGGGAATATAAAATATAATTAATTCAATTAACCTACCTACCCTGATACAAAAACAAAAATTGTGGTATGTAGAGGAGACGCTAAAAGAATGGGTGCGCTATTAGATAGCTCTTTTAGTTGCCTCTTACCACAAGCTACTGCTATAACTTACCATGTTTTCCAATTATTGTGAAAAACCTTTAAAAAGCAGAACATTTTTTCTTTCAGTTTTTAGTGGACACACACACATACACACTCAGTACGGTATGGCTAAGCAAAAAGTATCAAAATCATGTCACGTAGGCCTCTCCCGCCAAGCTATGCTACAGGCAGGTGAACTCCAAATGAGCTTTACATTAAACCTGACCAAGAAAAAATTCAAACCCTGAATCTACTGTACTGGTATGTCTTCTGGCTGGAGAGACATGTTTATTTGGCCATTAAACAGATTTACTAGTCTTCTGCACCAACAGCACTGATCTACCAAAAGCCCAAGTGACAGTTCTAAGCTTGACTTTCAGTTCCACGTTAGGCATAGGATTAGGCCTAGCATTCAGCCTATTTGTTGAGTTGTACTCGCATAAATAGTTCAAGTGCAAGTTTGGTTCCTTTCTCCAATATATCAGCCTTTGGGCTAATACATTTTTATTTTCAGTGCCAAAAAGAGAACCTAATGACGAAGAATGTGTCAAAAACGTTAAGAGCAGTTGGCCTCCACAGGAAGAATCAACTTGCAATGAAGACCACAGGTAATTTTATTTTATTTTTGTTTTAAATGTTAAAAAGTGGTTGTAATTAAGAACAATTTTGTAGCCATCATCAATGTTTCTGATATTGTTGCATGTTTATTTTTAGGGATCAGTCTAAACTCTTGAGTTTAAGTTAAATTAGCCCAGTCAAAGAGGGTTTTGTGTCGTTGCCCCTCTTTTTTTTAAAGAGGTTGGCGGCCTCTTTTGACCTTGCATTTGCCCGTCCACATAGACTAACCGCCCGTGCGTGGAACGTTTACAGCAAAGCAAGGAGTGAGCCGGTACAGTACAGAGGTGAACTGTACTGATAAATTTTAGTGGCGGTGACCAGGATCCGAACCCACGACATCGCTGTCTTGGGCCCGAAGTCCGAGACGCTACCGACCAAGCCACCGACTTACTAAATTAGGTGAAAGTTGAATTTTTGTAGGATGTTAGTAAACAAAGTAGACAGTAAAAAATTTCAAAGTCCCCACCCCTCTTGGTTTCTCTCCCCAACATGTTTGGGAGTGGTCCCAAACATTGCAAGAGCAGTACAGTAGACACTACTTTGGATAAATACTCGTAACTCAAAAGTTACAGACGAGATTCTTTTTTTGTATATTACACCTAACAATATGGCGAACAATTTATGTTGGATAATAGTTCTTTTGTATATAGCATAGTTTAACCGTAGGCCTAATACTGATATACATACAAAAAAATACTCTGCTAGTCTGCTAATTACAAAAACTTTCTTTAACCAATTATATCTTTTTATAGTTTCACTGTAGGAAGAAACATTTTGACCAAACCTACAGATAATCTAATTAGCTTTAAAATCAATACATACGTAAATAACAATACGTATCATTAAAATTATGGCTTCATAGAGAGCAATGAAAAAGTAGAATACCGCACCTCGCCGCACCTGCGCTACTCCTAGCCCTGCCCTTGCTGCCGTTGACACTCGCCGCTAAGTTGCACTGTACTTGTATCTCGTATTTGTGTACTCGTATCCGTAAATTTGAGTTATTTAATGCAGCAATTTAATAATTTTTCACTTCAACTTTCAATAAGAAAATAGAGATTTAGCTTACTTGTATCACTGATAAATCACACACATAAACATTTCACTGTCTAGTAGGTTCTGTGGTTTAGTTTAGAAATCTTAGTTTTGTGATTCATTTAATGCAAGATATGGTTTCTTAATGGTTATAGCTTCTATATGGTTTCTTGTTTCTTGCACAATGAATAATATGTTTACTAATTTTCTTTTTAAGTCGTTTATTGTAACCTCTTTAGACCTAACTTTGATAGACTTAAAACTTCCCTATGTTCTAATCATATCCTTCCTGTATAACATTTCACTGAATGATTTGCCCAACGTATTTTTATTGCTTCCAAGCCAACTTTTGTTTCATCACAATTGTAATAGGAGTCGCATACCGGCCCGGTTGAAAGTAATATTAATTCACTAGTACTGCAATCAAAAGGATTATGCTGACAACCAGTCTTTGATCTTTGACAAATCCTGCAAGTTGATTTGCGGCTTTCTCTCAATTCTCCATGCTGCTCGTGGGCATTAGTTTAATCATAGACAAAAAGAATTAATTATAGACCGTCAGCTGTGCTGCGATTACCATAGGTTCTGGCGCACATTGCTCCAGCGCCATGTAGTTATGGCTTTAGCGCTACTTAACTACACGGCGCTCCCAGCGGTGTGTGCCAAAACCTATGGTAACCATAGTAACGGCAGCACGGCTGACAGTTTATATTTAATTCTTTTTGTATATGGTTTAATCCAAGAAAGCTTCTAAAGGCTTCACTAATCCATAAGAATGAAGGAGCTCCTAGTATCCATTTATTTAAGGTGCTCTCAGTTTTTCTTTTGCTTTTAGTTAGAACTCCTATTGATTTTAACAATTCAATCAATGCCAGATCTATATACAATATGTCACTCCAATTTCCAGACCAGAACTCATCTTATTGTTTTATTGTTTTTTTTACAGGGAACCTATTACAGAGAAAGTCAAGGATGAAAATCAACATATGTCACAAGTAAGTAATTTGCCTGTTCTCTAGACCGTACTATTTTGCCAAAAAACCAAGATCACCAAGAAAAATGGGTGTGTGTTTTGTTATCATATCAAAACATGAACCTAAACTATATAATTTACTGTTGTAGACAATTTTTAGTTCCCAATGTTCCTCATTATTCTTATTTCCGTTCAATGGTATAGTGAGCGGGAACGTTTGTTTACACTCTGCTTTTCCCAAAAACACCTAAATATTTCAAGGTAATCTGTTTTTTTTTTTGTTTTTTTATAGACAATTGACAGCTTCTTGGACTTAATAAAAATTTATGACTACTCCACTGCTTCCATTAGGTATATTTACCAATTTTTTATTGAATAGTATACAGGGTTTCCCACAAAGAGGTTAAAGACGTTTAATTTTATATTCCTAGACAGAAGTAAATAAGTAAGTCCAGTATGTACCAAAAGCTTAAAGACCTTACAAAATTTTTAAAAATAGGTTATGAAAACACTTCATGTGAAAATTTCAGCTTCCTGTCAAGTAGAAACAATATATGTAGCAAATTGAACATTCTACTGATTTGCTACCTTATGGCTACCTTATTTGTTTAGGCCCTCTGTGTTGGCATTTATCGTTAAACAGTGGTTTGTTTGAACAATATTTTTTGAGCCATAATGTTATAACACTTTAAATACTATTAAAAGTCTGCTCAAAGGCTTTTGAAGAATAAACAAATATTATATTCACACCATTAAATAATATTGGTTGGTGTCTAAGTATCTACAAAGATCATTATGTACAATATGTACATATAATATATATATAATATATAATATATTCTAACCATTTCATATCTTGAAATTTACAAAAATCTAATGATATCAGGATTTTAACATCTTGGTGGATGATCTTCTGAAAGACAGCGCAAACCCTAACAGTGATGTAAAAGTCAAATCTGAGCAGGACACAGAGGAACCTGAAGAAAATGTTCAAGACTTAGTAGAGTCCAGGGTTGCTGAGCCTAATCCATCCGATTATGAGATGTCTACACCTCAGGTCAGTTTCAAATGAGCTGATTTTTTATTTAATCTGCTGGACAATAGTCAGTGTATTTCCAGACTAAAAAGTGATGCTCATGTGTTGGACCTGAGCTACAGATTTCTTTAAATCTTTAAATGATTGATCACATTTTTGACATGCCTTGATGAACAGATGCTTCCTGCCATTTTTTTTTCAAATATTTTACTTATTGTTCTCATATGCTTATGAACAGATTGTAAAATGAATTCTAATAATAAAAAAAATATTTGAAAACAATATTGTATTTAGAATGAAATCAGTCATAAAAACTGTTTGCAGATTTGTTGGCAACTAGTGATGTTGAATCCCAAATTAAATCCTAACATCTAATCCCACAAATCCAAGTGCAGTTTGAAAAAATAATGTAATCTAGCATGAAAATGTACATGTTCATCGTCCGATCGGCAACAGCGAAATGAAATTAATACTACTTTATCGCCAAGAAACATTTGACAAATCCAGCAGAGCAAACTTTCCACATTTCACCTGTTATTTAAATAATAAAATATAATTTTTCTAGGAGACTGTTGGATCTGAAAGTGACAGTAGCGAGAGTCATTCTCCAAAGAGAAAAAGAAGAAATACCACAAGTAAGACCTTGCCAGTAGTAGCAGCCACATCAAATGAGATTCAAACACTATCTTCAGATTCAGACTCAGAAGAGGTAAGACATCATGTTGAGTTGTCATAAAGTCCATTTCAGTTAGTTTATAATAATGTTTGGACTCAACCCTTTTCAGATTAGTTTTTTATGTCAGCTAAAAAGTCAAAATCTATACTACAGTGGAACCTTGATAAGAAGACTCTCGATAACAACAAGTCACTCTTGATAACAAGTGGCATTTTCAAATCTCCTTAGTTTTATTTTACCCCTAATCACATGCTATTACACACCTTGATAAGAAGTCAACCTTGACAAATGGTTTTATTTTACAATCCCCATGTGAGTCTTGTTATCAAGGTTCTACTGTTTTATAAAATTGAGGTGTTGTCTGCCTGTGTGGCCCTCGCGACCAAAGTACTAAATTGATATACCCAAAATTAATCACAAAGATGGTCCACATATTTAGGAATGTTTTAGGCTTATAAACTTTGAACTTTGATATTGTAGGCTATTAATAGCTGCCTGTAGAAAAGGAGTAGTAGCATTTTAGTGAGTATTAATTTGGTGTAGTGTGCATTTATAACTAGAGGTCGCCCCATGGTCGTAAATTCGACCAAAAATATGTGTTGTGCAAACTTCTCTATTACTACCCCATATTGTAAATAAAACATGTGATTGGAATTTCTTCCATTCGTTTTAATTTTCTGTTTAAATATTTCGTCATTAGCATGGCAATCCATAAGCCCATGCACATTTTTTTTAAATTTTTAATTCCTTTTTTTGTGATTATTTTGAGCTATTTTAATTTATAAAGGAATTTTCTACATCTACAGGAAAATATCTTTCTAAACAGTATGCGTAGAATTTCCCTGCAATGCACACGAGCTGAGAAAAAAGGTTTTCAAGAATCAAGCTTGCCTAATAATACAATAAAGGATATCAGGACTTAAAAACCTTGATCACGGCAATCGCCATCATTGTCTCCTGTGAGCAGGGCAAGATCAAATACATCTCCCGCGATGGGGAAGACATCATCATCATATCTTCCGATTGTGGCAAATTTATGAACATCCACCTCCACCCCGTTTGTAAAGACATCATAATCATCTCCTGCGATTGCAGCAACATTTTGAACCTCCTTTGTGATTACAGGGAAATTATTGCAAAGCAACTGATAAACCAAAACCTATATTGTACATGCATTCTCGGTAAACTGACAACCAAATTTTGAAATCAAAATAAACATCCCTACTTTTAGGTAAATGGTCCTGTCCAAAGAACAGCTGGTCTTAGTCAGCAACAATGCGACACAACGCTTCTCACTCACTCCATTCTACACTCGACATCCTTATGTATAGTTGGGTTAAAATACGCTCAGTTTGGTCCAAAGCTTAACTATTGGATGGATCATCATGGTATAACAGTATTATATTTTTCTTGTCTAAATCAAGTAAGAAATATAATATAAGTACAGGGTTTGATTACAGTTAGTCGTTGGGGATTAGGCTTGGAGAAGAAATTCAGAGGAGGCATAGGGGTTTGGCTCATATGTGGCTATGGCCACTATATCACTACCTATCTCAACTATGTATATAGATTGGTCTGTGGTTAAAGTTTCCATGGGTTATCTGACTTTGCTCTTTTTTTAGCGAATTTCCCAATTTCCCATATAGGGAATACGTTATTGCCGTAGGTCTTATAGTAACCCCGGGACCGATTTACTTTTTTGTTTTGCCCGTGCCTCGCCAAGAATGGTGATGAAAATATGCTGATTTTTCCCTGCTCGAGGATTAAGCGCTTATTCTTGATGTAAATCAATTTTTAATGTCCATGTTACAAAGAAAAATACTTTACCTATGTGTTTCTTTCCCAGTTGAAAGACATGAGGCCGGTTTCATGCACCGCAACAATCGCACAATATCTAGCGGCTGACACTTTTTTGTCGCGTAAAATCACTTTCGAGTGGTGAGGGAATTAAAAAGCTCAGAGCTCAGTCAGTGTTGTGCTGTAGGAATGATGAATGAGTAGTAAATGTGGACCTTATAAACGTTGAACATGCTATCAACCAAAAACCGTGTAAAAGGGTTTGGGTGGTTCATCCCATAAAATCATTTTGATTGCAGAGAGGAGTGTTTTTTATACTTTTTGAAGATTCGAAAGCAGACAATGCTTTATTTACTTATATAAAAAACATAAAAATTACAGCTTGAATAATGTTAATCCACTTGAAAGTTTGAAATGTCATTGCAGACTAAACTTGACATAATTTATATTGAAAATTAAGGCCAAAGAACTAATTTATATTTATATATTAATTACTAACAAGTGTACATGTTGCTCGAATTCGAGCAATTGCAAAGTATTACAGGAGTTATTTAAAAACGAATAACAGTCATATTTACAATGAGTTAAAAGAGTCAACTCAAAGATTACCGGAGATCATGTTTATCTTCGTTATTAATAAACCTAAAGCATTCCGGCCGGTTGCCGGGTTTCTCCTTCTCAAAATGCCTCGCTGTACAGGCAACACAGGTCACTGATAGAGGGTCAATTGAGAACGAAAAGTCGTTTTGGGGTAGTGTTAGGGCGCATTTGTAACCTAATAGTTGAGATTGTCCAGGGTCAGGTGCTGACTGTGATGAGTTAAGCCTATTACGCGCCACTGTTCTGTAGCTGCGGTCGTTATCACGATTACGCCTCCTGTCTATGTTTCGTTGCCGTCGCGTCGGAGGCATTTAAAAGAAAAAAAAACAACAAATAAACAAATTATAGCTACACAAAACAACGATAAATGCACAAGTTACAATCATGCTAACACGATCCGTCATAGCGACACAAAACAACGATGAATACACAAATACTGTACAACCATCCTAAAACGATTCGTCTTGGGGGCATCGATCTCTTGGGGGTTATGTTTACACAAACTCAAATAGTAAACAAATGTACTCAATGCGTTTCATTGAATTGAAAAATAAATAACAGCAATTAAATCATACAGCTGATCAAAATGTAAACAATTAGGTTCTTCATAAGGATAACATGGGAACTTTCAAAGCCACTGGGGCAGAGCCCAAGGGACTTTAAAAAAATGTAAGGTCAGTTTGCAAATCTACACGACACGCTCTTTCCAATGAGACGTCAATGAATAAAATCGGTTAAGAAATGGCGGAGGAGTTCAACCGACAAACTTTCATGTAGCGTATTAATTATATAGATATATAAATCGGGGAGCGAGCTGGCGTAGTGGCTAGAGCGCGGGACTTCGGTCCGTGAGGTCCCGGGTTCGATCCCCGCCAAGTCACCAATGGATTTTATCTAAGTGATAATGCCGCAACCCCTAGGTCTAGCCTGAAGTAATGTGAAAAACAATCCCAGGCTCGTGCCTAGCGTCCTAGGACAAAAAAAAAAAAATATAAATCAATATACAGGGTGAGTTTTAATTGTCCCCCCCAACTTTTTTCTACATTTTTTTTAATATCAATCCCTGACCACTTCCAAACATTGTTGGGTAGTAAGTACTTCATTTTGACAAGGTGGTCATTTCCGGCCGCCATCTTGGATCTGCCATATTGGATGCAAAATATTTTTTTCAAATGTAAAGGTGGGTTTGTGACCCATTATTTTGAACCCTGATTACAATGCCACAAACCGTTTAAAAAAATCTTGATTCATTCCAAAGTTATGAGGGCTTTTTAAAACTTTATTTTCAGCCCATTTTAACATTGTGCATTTACAAACTAAGACCATAATCTCAAAATAGTGCTAGATAAATATAAGTATACACCACCAGTCATTGTCAACCTATTTTCTCTTTGTTATGACTGATGTATTTTTTTCGGCCGCCATCTTTGATCCGCCATTTTGATATGTGATATATTATTTTAAATATTAAGTGTGTGTTGTGACCCATCATTTCGAACTACTTTTTTATGCTAAACTCAATGCCGAAATCATTTTTTTGTTATCAAGTTTTATTTATGAGATATTGCATTTTTTTGGTTAAAAATGTGAATATTTCAAAATCAAAATATGAAAATGAAAGACGGACCATGGAATTGAGTTCAGCTTAAAAAAGTAAATGATGGGTCACAGCACCCCTTTCATATTAAAAATAATTTATCATGTTTCAAAATGGCGAATCCAAGATGGCGGCCGAAAAAAATACATCAGTCATAACCAAGTAAAAATAAGTCGACAATGACTGGTAGTGTATACTTATCTTTATCTAGCTATGACGAAATTTCGGGTTGAGAGACAAAATCAGATTTAAAAGTACGTAATTGACGTCTCACCTAAAAATTCTGTCACACCTTAAATTTGTCCAGATAGCCTAGCCTACAATGAGATAGTCCAGGGCTCTAACGTGTTCGTTAATTAATTATCGTTTCGAGTTTATTGGCTCAGAATATTAAATACAACAATTATGCTTACAATGTTAAGCTTACCTTTAACAAGTGCTCATCATAGCCACTCGAAAAATATGTGAAGCTAAATTTAGAATTTTGAATAAACTATTGTGAATGCGGATAACCTAATTAATTGGAAACCTAACTAAAACGTGATTCGGTCGTTATACTTGGTAATGACCAAAGTAAACGTGTCGGGAAAATTAGACTCGGTCGATCACCAGAGTCGATACGGGGTTTCTTGAATCAAATTTACGTGAGACGGTTCGGGGTTAACGGAATAAGTTGTACGTAAACCGTTCTGGCAACTTAAATGATTTCCGAAGCTGGTGTAAGACAATTGGCCACCGCTGCCTAGTGAAAAAGTGAAAAATCTTCCTTCCTTAATTTTGTAGTTTTTAACCTCCTTGAATGTTAGTTAAAACACAATTGAATAACTAATAAGTAAACCAAAAACGATACTCAGTGGTCTGGCAAAATAAGTTAATCGATGGCCGTGAGAAGATAAGAAGTCTGAAGACGTCAACAAACAAAACAGTAAAACACAGTAAAAGACCAATCACTTAAAACGGTCTGGATGAATGCTAAATCATGTAGGCCTATTGTGATTTTTACTGAAATCCTGTGAAAGAGAAATATTGACCGTGGATC